TTCCATCCGGTAACGGGCGGTCCGTGTACCGGTCAGCTGACGGACCGATACAGACGATATTATTCGAAACTGTATACCTTGCAGTAAATAATAATATGAAACTCTAATACAGTAGAAGAAAGATAGAAACAAATCTCTTATACTAGTTTCATGCAGTTTTTTCTTTTTCGTGTTGAGCTAATAAAAGTTAGTATGAGATAAACACAGTGATCATGATAGCAATATACTTATGGGATTGTTTTCTTATAATGATGAATGCACATGTGAGTCTCACATTCAGGGCCTCAAAGAGAATGAGGGAAGTTTTTTGCAAATGAGGAGTTGGATTGGTTGGGTGGTAGACTAGTGGAGACATTATCTGTTATATGTTTTGCCAATTTTGTACCGAAGATTTATTTGAAGTATATGGACCAGTATAGCTATCCTTCCTTTGGAAGAGCACAGCAGTCTAGAGTCTCAAGGATTTGTTCAAATCATGATAATGAAAGAATGAACAGAAAGCAATTATAAGTGAGCAAATTACCTTCCATGGGACTAAATTCAGAAGTTCGACATAGTTTCCTCTTCCAAGTGCAGCTGGATTAAAATGCCGAGGAGTATAATCAACATGTATGACCACAGGCCTCACCTCACACTTCTAAAATGACAAATATTAGGAAAGAGTCAGAAATGACAGCACATGATATAACTGTTTTAGACATGCCTCAGCACAGAATGCACTTCACTATTACAGGAAGAAAGAATATAAAAACCGAGCTTATACTAGGTAGCATAAAATAAAACCATGATTTTTGTTTTTTCTTTCTTCATGGTTTCAACAGTAATTCAAATGTCACCAGTTCTTGGAGATTAAATTAGATATTATTATGCAGAGAAGTAAAGGATTTAGTTCAGATTTTCAACATCTTAAAGATATGATGCAATCTGACAATCTCATGCATAGACCGAGCTAATCCATATCAGATCCACTTACAAGATCAAAGATCTCATCTGAAAAGCTGATCCAATATGAATACATCCCAACATTAGTTATTGAAATCCTGACTTAACATTGGTAGATAACTTCTAAACCTAATAATAATGTATTCATATTTTAGAAAAAAGTACATAATATTGAATAAACAAGTCATAAATGTATTGGGCTTAGGTTGATGTGTTCCTGATCTAATATTAATTTGATAATCAGACTAGGGCACAATTGGACTGTTAGATCAAAATGCTGATTCTCAAATGGCTTAAGTTGGACTAGATTATATGAAATCCAATGGAAAGTAAGGGTTGTAGTGTATATCCTTTAAGAAACTAGCACTTATATACATAAGACTGAAGGATTAATTGTTCACTGTTCCATTTTATGTTAGAAAAAAAAAGAAGCATATTCATACTTAATACAAAGAGAGTATAAACACATTCTTATTTGTGATAATCAATTTAAATATGAAAGTCGAATCCCAGATGAAGCTTTGTGGAGCTTAACAAACTCAAGAACTTGGTAACAAACATTTTCACAAAAAAAAAAAAAATGTAAAAATATACTTCATTTTGGAGAAATATTAACAAAATCCAATCTTTGTTATTAAGTTATTATTGAACTGCCTGGGGGAGAAAGATTATGGAGCAAATGAACTAGCCTGAATGAATGCAGATAGTGCCTCTACTATCTTTGACATATCAGACTCATCCAAAACATTAGATGAACCAGGAGAGAAATCATCAAATGGACCTTGGTTAAAGAAACTCATGAGAAAATTAATGTGTGCTTGATCAAGATGCAATCGGAGTGGCAGAAGCTCAAGGTATAACCTGAAAAACACCAAAACTTTAGCAGTGAGAAATGCTAAAACAAGCAACATGGCTACACAATAATACAAGTGAAAGGAATAAGTTTTAAATTCTTGTTAAATGTCAATTCTTGGAAGCTTTCTCCAATATTTATGTAGACAAGTAGATTAAGACTTTAAAGGGCAACAGGTTTTCTAGTCTCCCACTTAAAATTACACAGTATCATCTTTTACCATGGTGGCATACCAGCATTTCCCTGAAGATTGAATAGACTGAACAATTAGAACTTTGTGCAGTCCAAAATGAACTAGCAAGTTTCCAGAAAGCTAGTTTTTTCAATAAAGGCTAGTTCAAATAAATTTTTTTATGCTTCCAAAGATAATTGATGTAGGATAAATAGCTCTGGTTGCAAATATGGTGTAGGACAAATTCGCAATAAACAAGGATGTTTTTGGGTAAGGATTAGAGAAAAAGGAAAGAGAGGAAAGAAGGGAAAGATATATAATATAATAGAAAAAATATAACAATCAGACTTGCTCTGTCATAAGAATTAATGAAATCATACCATTGGAAAAAAATACATGACCTTCACCACTTCCACATAATGTGGAAAAAAATCCCATTCTTTCATCCATTCTCTAATATCCTAAATACAATTTATTTTTCCTTTTTATAAGATTCCCCAATTACAAAAAAAAACAAAAATAAGGAAAATTACAATAATAAGAATATTACATCCCATAAATTAGAACATATCAATAATTTCATATTTTCTTTTTTTTAAAAGAAAGATGTAATTCCATGTTTGTCTTGTCAAAAATTCTTCCTTATCAATGAATGTATGATTGGTAGACTTCCTTCATTGGGAATTCTTTGATCAAGAAGAAATTTCCTTGTTGGGGTGAGATTTTCAATTAAATCTAAAAATTATAACTTCCCAATTTTTTTAAGAATCTTTAATCATTTTAAGATTTGTCCCATTCTTTCAGCTAACTTCCTTTTTCTCTCTCCTTCAGCAATATTAAAAACTGATATCAAATTGTAGAAGATGTTGCCATTTAACAACTTATGAATTATGACATTTGCGAAATCCCAACTAAAATAAAAAAAAATTATTCAAAAGAGATCCTGCATCCTTTACCTATGAGAGTCAAATTTTGCAGCCCATGCTGAGCACTGATTTATATAATTGAATCTGGTTCAAAATTTTCTATCCAATGATAAACTCAATGCAATTTTTGTTGTTAAAAGAAGATCCTTATCATTTGGCACTAAAGTCAATTTAAGAGACCACAAAAAGATACATGGTTCATGTCATCAGATTTTCAACTCTGAGTAAGACATGGGTTATCAAGTGGGAGGTCGAATGGGATAATTTATGAAAGGTGAGGTGAGTTTACTAATCACTAAGCCCAAGCAGTTATTCACCAGATTTATCTTCCTCTTCAAATTTCTACTGCATGTTCTTCTCCAATTTCTACTCCTACTTTGCTCCATTTTTTTGTTCCAAGTTCCAACATCACCTCCTAAATGAAACCTCTCTATGTTCTCTTCCCCTATGCCCTAAAAACTGTATCATCTGTATTGTTTTACTGTGCAAAATTATTTGGTAATGGCTAAATAAAGCAACCATCTCATTCATAGGATCCAATAAACCTTTATTTAATTGGCAACCTTATACAATTCATAAGCACAACAAAACAATCAAATAATAGAAATTACACAAACAGGATATCTTGGTCAACTGCCTTTCACAAGAGCAAAGCTGATAAATGAATGCAGTAGTTCAATATAACCTTGGCTCAAGGACCTGAGTAGTTATAAGTTGTAGAAGCTAATAAAAATGAAGCTTTAAGATATCAGAATCATCTAGACCAATAGAAGGTGCCTGTTTCAGAAACTAACTATTTGCACATAAAAATAGTGAAACTAGCAATAACATAAATAAATTCGAATTAGGCAGCAATAAGCATCATGGACACTAAAAATTTTGAGAAGGAACTCTGAAGGTTTACTTCTGAAGTTTGTTTATTGCACTAACTGAACTGGTTTGCTACAGCAATTATTAGCAGTACAATTTAAGGTAATACACACATCAGATATGAAATGAGTTATTACAAAATCATCAAATAAACTGTGAAATAAAGATTAAAATAAAGCATCTGACTACCTGTACTCCTCCAGAGGTGACAGCAAGTTGGGCCTTACAGCTTCCAAACTAAACTTCAATGCTTTAGTGCAGGATTCTCTTGGATGATTTTTTGAATGGTAATTACCTAAAATCTTTAATCTCAAAGAAATAAGTACTTCATACATAATTCTTTACTAGTGTCAGAATATCAGTGGCATATATAAGAAATCGAGATAAGAACCATACCATCTTCCAAGGAGCATCCCTGCTGGTGTCAAAAAGATAAAAATCCTGAACTGAAAGAGAAAGTGTTGATGCATTGGTCTTCCCTTCAGGATACATGTCATATTGAAGATGCAACCCAGACAAACTAAGCTCCAGGCATACATTCCTATCTCTTCCATTTGAAATAACACTACACATAGAAACTCCATTTGATTTAATCCAGTCATGTCCATCATACATGCGCCACTTTGCATCCATGTTTCTAAGAAGTATTCTCCCCTTTGCAGGGCAATCAGCAGCATAAGTATTGTCAGGTAGAAATTTGCCTTCAGGCAGATTTATTGAAAAGTAGTCTTCAATTATCATCAGACCATCATCTATCCATGTTTTATTTACAGATTGGTTTAATAAATTCCCCATTTCTGAGATGTAAGATGAATCAGAATCTCTAACATTCACTTTAGATTTTGATATGTTCCCCAACTTGTACTGTTCAAGTAAGTTATGAGATTGTATGTTACAATAATCAGACATGGCATGGCATTTAAAAGCATTCTCAACTATGTCATCCAAGAGACCAGAAGCTTGGCAATCTTCATTAACAGTTGACGACCCACTACCTGATATTATAGAATTGCTTGAACTTATGTCTGCCATATAACCTGAATTCTGTTCCTTTCCTGCCTGTTGAATTGTATTCCAACTAGACTCTGAATGCATCAAAACATCTTCGACATCAGGTGCATAGAGCTGCTGAAGCTGAGCGATTAATTGGATAAGACCATAAGTTGTGTCACAACAAGATTCTAAATCAATATGTGACTCTGCACATTCGATTTCCCAGTACAGCCCTCTAATTCTCAAAATAAATTGCAGAAGTGAAACCTGACCAATCTTAGTATACCCATATTTTTGAAGATAAGCTACAGAATAGCCATCAATGTCATGCATGAAGCCAATTGATTCAGAAATAAGAAGGCCTACATCCCTTGTATGAAAATGGTAATCCATGGCTGAGTCTGACCTAAAATGAGTGGAAAGGCTCAATGATGATGCAGCCAAAAGGCATGCAGTGTACATTTTGTCTGGTTCGTTGTCGGGTTCAACATCACAAAAATTGACAAAATCCCAATCTTCACTGCTGACTGGAGATTGTTTATTCTGAGGCTCATAACTTAAACCAACATCCATCAAATCCAGAAAAAATGACTCTTTACTCGCCGTTCCATCATTCACCAAGCTTTCTTTCTCTCTAAGAGAAGAACTAAAATACAAATATAGGGTATTAATCCAATCCAATTGAGCACTAGGTGCAATTACTGTCCAACAACGAGCAATCACAGAAGTATAACTTTGCTGGGACTCTGGATTCCACGTGTGTGTGACAGCAGTACCAGCAGGGCCAAAAAATACATTAGAACCTTCACCATTTCCCCGACTCATTGCTGAACTCCTACATGTTATCAGAAGTAATTCTGATTCATCTCTGTCCCTATTAATTTTGGAACCCCACAGATCACCTTCGCCGTGGTTGAGCCATAAAAATTTTCCATTTGTTATTCCATCAATACTAAGGACAGATAACGACTCAAACTTATTAAGTTTTAGTTTAAAACAAACCCATGATCCCTGTAGTTCCTTTTGTAATGGCTGAGCAACCTCCACCAGTTCATTGAACCTGATACAGGCATTGATGGTATCACAGTCCAGAAGAATCGAGATTTGAGATGCATTATAGGAACTCAGGGACATCTGTTCATTGTTGATATCATTGTCAATACTAGAATCCATCCCGTTGGCTGCCTTTGAACATCCATCAGTGACATTGTTTAGCAAACAATATAAAATCTTATAATCATGATCATCAAGATTGATCCAAAGAGAGCACAACTTAATATGTAAACATAATGCAGAATTAAGGATCAATTCTTGGCGGATCTTAAAATTTGATTTCTCAAGGTCCTCCATATGAGATATGGAGGAGAAATTAAATCCTTCTCCAATAACTTTATTTCTATTTCTTTCATGTGATGAGGCCAAACTCCAAACTCTATCTGCCATACAACTATCAGTCACAGGATCCTTCTGATCATTGGAGTTGACACTAAAAGTACAGCTGCATTCACCAAATGATTCCAACAATCTAACATGGGTCAGACCATTCAGAGTATTATCCTCTAGAGCTGATTCTAAACCATGATATTGTATTTGAAAAGGAAATGTTGGGAGAGAACCGTGGACCTTTTCCTGCAAATAGTGACTTAAAAATATTTGCTCACTGGAAATGTTCTTGCAATCATCTGAGGAAAACCCCACAGCATATTTCTGAGTATCATAGTATGCATCCAGGTTGATATGCTTGACTGATGCACTGAATTTTGCATCTTGAGAGCAAGTCTATTGATTTCATCAAAATGTGCAAGGTTAAACCATACATGAAAAGTATGAAAAGAAAAAAGCTTTATAATGATTGACAAGGTGTTGCATACCAAATACTCAAAGAAACAAAGTTTTACCTTCAGATTAAAAATTATATCCTGACACTTAGATTCGAGGTGGTGCATCTTCTTATTATGGTGATTAACTTCAGTTGCACTGAAAACATCACTTGACGATAGGCAGGTCATATAAGACTCAGAGTTTAGCTCACTAACTAGTGGGTCAAAAAAATTGTTGGGACCTCGTGGGAGTTTTTGATCATCGTTGTTGAGGAAAAGGATAACAGAGACATTACCAAGTGCAGCTTGTAAGGTTGTATCCACACGTTCTGCATCGATATGATGAGAATACTTAGCCAACTACCAAATTACTAGCAACTGGAAAGTAATTACCACAACATGATACAACCATGAAAGAGATTAAATAATAAATTTGTTATTAGCTGTCATGTCATAAATTGAAAAGGAATGTTAAATGCAAGGAACAAGAAAGATAATAAAAACCATGAATTTAAGGGGCAGTCCTAGATGGGTGGGCATGTGCTGATGCACCAAGGGGTGTTTGATGAATTGGTAAATGAAAAATAGGGAGATGAGAGATTATAGGAAGAATAAGGGAAATAACAAGGTTGAGCAGGCAATTTAAGGGTCGAATCTAGACTGAAACAATAAAAAGAATGCAAACCTATGGTAGTAAGGGGTCATCCTAGATGGTAGAACATGTCGGATACCGTGATGAAGCAAAGAGATGTTTTATAGATTGGGAGGGACAAATAAGGAGGAGAGAGATAAGAAGAAGAACTAGAAAGAGTAGACAAGATATCAAGGCCAAACAGCCATTAACAAAATCAAAATTCTTAACTCAATGCATCATAGAACACTGACTAGATTAGAAGCTGCTCTCATTTATTACATTTATTTTTTTTCAACTATAAGCTACTCAAACACTTCAAAACGAAGGAAAAAATTAGATAATCATTACTAGATGTAAATCTACCCAAGTTAGATCCATAGTCCTATATCCAGTGAATCTGGACTGTTTATTACATTCCAGGGAAAAGAACATAAGAGTTCAAAAGTTCCTATAGAATTTAGAAAAACCATAACCCTTCCCCACGTACTCAACCTAGACTTCTCCCAAAACTATCTAGCCAAGGATCAGCACGAATTTTATATTGTGTAGAGGACATGCTTACATTGCATTGGCTTGGCACCAAGCATGTGTCATGAATGCAGGCTGGCATGTATCACAATAGTAGCCTAGTATAACCAGCTCTCCATCTGTGCTGTAAAGTTTAAGACATTGGATTGACCCACATAATGACATAATTTTTAGATATTAGAATTTTGACATAGAAATATGCCATAGAAATAAATACAGGTAGGAACTAAAATGCAGTACTTGGGTGTTACTAAAAATCTTGTGGAACTTTGGTTGTGAGAGAAGGGTACAACATAAAGATAAAAAGAGGATGGACCTAGTGAATGAGGCTCCCCCAGTGAAGGGTCCAGGAGGCCAAACTTATCATTGCACTAAGGTCCGCCCTTAGGCTATAACATAAAGATAAAGAACAATAATGCAATTTGAACCCATATGGTTAAATCCTTGAAGGTGAAAAGTAGACATTTCATGATAAGAACATCAGTTGGGTATACATAGGTCATTAACTGAAATAATACCAAAAATAATTGGTTTAAAGTCATGCTTAAAAATTTATTATCAGCTGACTGCAACTATTTACAATCCCTGCAAAGATTTCCATTTCATCATATGGTCCGAAAGATAGAGACAAATTTCCTCTTTCTACAGAGGTAAATATATGATTTTTGTGTTTGGAGATTTGGGAAAATACTTAAGTATTTGAGCAGGACACTGATAATCTACAGAGAACAGATACCACATGAAATGAGAAATATAAAGAAATAATAAGTCTTAAGATAATTCAGAATGCAAAATCAGATGGAAAATATATGGCACTGAGAATAGAACTTGTCCAGTACCATACACCACCCCTACCTGAGTATGCCTGGGAGCTCCTCATTCCATTAGAACATTCATCAAATTGGTCGACGCTGCAACAAATATTCATTAACCAATTTAGAAATCTTTAATAAATAAGTATCATAAAAAACCAAGCATTTTAGGATAATTACATTGAGTACAGAGCATCATCACATTGAAACTATATGTACAGGAGAAACAGGAATGACATTGTACGAGAAAGCCACAGAAACTAGAAAACTTCTGAATGGCAGGAACCATCATGTAGTTGATAATTTGCAAATGAATTAAATATTTACTGGCTAAAAGCATACAGATGCCAATATAAATATCATATTTATGATAGACATATGATTTTAAGATGAGCATAGAGGAGGAGGTGTCATTTTGCTCACTGAAATAGGCATTCAGGTAAAAGTATGTTATTTATGTGAAAATGACTGTCATATATTGTGTTTATTATTGAACTGTGAACTGAATGATAACAAAAGAGAAGCTGAAATTTTTGTGGCACCTCTTGGGCACTAGAGTCTTTTCAAAAGTTCATGAGGCATGTGTCAAAAGTGCACAAGAGTATAAGTCTTAGAGCGAGGGTCAAAAGTACGAGCCAAAGCAATCAACATGCTTTAGATGCACCTCTGGTAGCACTGCCCTAAACCACTATGAAAATGCAATTGTCAGAACAGGATACAAAATAATATGACAAAGCCCATGGTATGAGGATCAAAAGGCATGAATATATTGTACGCATAAGATCCATGTCTAACAGCAATTATTATTTCCTGAAAAAAATAAAATTTTCATTCAAATAAGAATGAATTATATCAATAGAGAATTCTATCCTGACTTCAGTAAAATAAAAGCAACATCTTGAATATCTCTTTAAAAAGACCTATGATTAGAAGCATTTTTATGTGACTTATTCTTGAAGCTGTTCTCAGTATATAGGAAAAAGAATCAGAGAAGTTGTTCATATAATGTAATGTGATATTAACTACAGGAATTATTGAAGTTCGTCAATGTTATGAGACTAATTAAGATAGCGAAAATAAGAACAGAAGGTGGATTTGAATAGCTACTCTATGATCAATAAGTATCATGAGGAACTTGGATTGGATAAGAGGATATATAATATGCACGATGTTTCAAAAAAAAAAAAATCAGAAGACGGACCTTCCATTGTAATCTGAGTTCACTTCACTTTGGTTTTCTTGACAATGAGATGCTCCAATATTTAGAGATTGCCATGCGGACGTGGCCCACTCAATAATGTTGGGTTGTACCCTTAATTCCACAGAGTCTATGGATACGTCAGCATTAACTTTGTGTATATCTAAGGATCCATTTTCACATGGTATGCTTAACTTTATTGTCCCTGAGAATCCACCATTTGGTCCAGTCAGAATTGGAATGGCACCATTCTGCAAAACCCTCTTATTAAAGCTTCTCCCTCTGTGCTTATGAGGCTCAGTGCTCTCATCAATATAGTTCATCTGAAGAAACTCAACATTAGCTTCTTGAAATTTTAGATAACTCACTACTTTTGACATGGAATCCTCAGAAACATAAGTTTCAAAATCAATTTCTTTTATTCGTAGAACCAAAAGTTCATCAAATGCTGACTGGAGATCAAATCCGACTGTGACACTGTTTATTCTACCATGAAACCTTGTGAGACACTTTTTTACAGTGTCAGCAATTGCCTTAACTCCTTCATGAACATAACCATAACTGTAACAATTTTCCAGATTTCCCAGTTTAAGTTTCTCCACATTGGTGCTATGTTGCTCAACATCATAACCTGATGGGGAACAATCAGGGAGGGTGATGTTGCTCCCACTAGATTGTCCAAACACAAGCTCAAGTTCATCAAGCTCTATCTCAATATTCTGTGTTAGCTTCCAGGGGATTTTAATGGATAAAGATTTTATTGATCCCTCTTTTACCATAACTGGTGCACCGACAATCTGGAACACAAAAAGACGATGGCATTGGTTAGAGAAAAATGTCTACTAGTGATATGAGATGAAACTATTATCTTAAAAGAACTTAGACCTAGCATCTCAACATTGTTTATTTAGTCAATACATCGACTTTAAAAAGAAAAATACAAATATGACTACATCTTCTTCGGGGAATAAGTAAACATTATCTTCTAAATTTAGATCACTATTTCTGTTAAGAAAGCTAGGTCATTATATACTTGCACGTGGATAATAAACTCTCACAAAGACACACATAAGATCAAGTCATCCAACCTACAACTACATCAACTTCTTCACTAACCGGCCAAACTGGAAAAGCTTCCTGCTGCCGCTATCATCTTGCCTAAATCTTGACTAGAAGCTAACAATGTTCTTACAATTAAATAATCTAAGTAAGAAGCCTTACGAGTAAACAACAACCCTCAAGAAAAGCCTACAAGCCAAAATTGCATTCTCAACCTTTCATCCTCTTTTAGAAGTATTTTTACTGAATGCCAGAAAATAGCTCCAGAAATCACCAATGGATCAACAGAGCATTAACAACGACAAAAGGAAAGCAGAACAGAAGAACGATAACGAGAGGGAAGGGGGTACCTTCTGGTTGAGGAAATCGACATCGAGGGCGAGATCGGAAAGGCAGATGGTGCCGGTGGCGAGCCGAACATCGAGCTGGTCGAAGTCGATGTCGCCCAAAATTACGTCCCCCAGGTTCTTCTGCAAGAGGGACCTGAACGCGCGCTTGATCGCGCTCGATGGCAAGAAATCCCACGGCCAGAACATCCCTAGGGTTTCTCCGGCCGATCACGCGAGAAGAAGAGAGTACGACGAGCGAAATGCACAACGGATCCCTTCACTCCTTCCCGCCCTCGCTCTCTCCAGCCATATATATAGGAGCCAACGTAATTGGAATCCCCCCCTCCACCGTCCTCTTTTTCACAAATTTGCCACCAAGCTTTCTTTTCGTTTAGTTTTCTTCGTCCAGATAAGTTTGGTTCATAGCTAGAGGGGCACTTTTGATATTATTTAAAACATGAGGTGCTTTTCGAGAAATTCAAAAAAGAGAGGAGCTTTTCTGGAATTTTCATCCTATTAGGTAATCCTTGAAAGATAGAAAAAATTTATAAAAATATATAAATTACTTGCATAACAAATTTTAGAATTACGATATTGTGCTTTTTATAAACTAAAACTATTCGGTCATGTAAAGCAAAGATATCCGGATAATTAATTCTAATTCTATTGAATTTTAATTTTTTTCAATAACTATATGTGAGTAGATGCCATTTGAAAATTTTCATCGAACAGCCAATTTTTTTATTTACATAAAAATCTATTTATCATTTTCCTCAATTTTTTTTTCTACTGAGAGATATATTTTTTGGGTCCTTTGATATTATTGAGAGAAATGAAGTGTTCTGCGAGAAATTCTTAAGAAGGGACGCTATGTAGAAAATAGTAAAATAGAGGAGCTTTTCAAGAAAATGTATCCTATTAGGTAATCCTCGATAGGCAATATAAAATTACAAAACAAAATATATGATAATTAGAGAAGAAATGGTTTCCGTACAAAATTTTAGAAAATAATATTGGACCTCTTGTATCAAGTAACACGATTTCGTCATGTAAAGTAAAGAGATATGGATATTTAATTCTAAACATGGTGAATTTTTAATTTCCTTCAATAAAGAAATATAAATTTATTGTTTACCTTTTTCTTTATTTTTACATTAAGAGAAGTATTATTTAAATCTTGATGGTCATTTTTGATACTATTCAGAAAAGTTGTGAAATAAAAAAAAAGGGAAACTCTATAGATAAAAAAAGGCATACGGATGAGTTTTTTTTTCTTTCCTGAAAGACAGAATAAATTAATAAAAATAAATGATAATTAGAGAATTGATAGGGATAATCTTGTCTCGTTCCGGCTCATCCACCACGGAAGCAAACACTTAAGCAGGACTCGAGTCATCAGCTCTCCGACGATGTCACGTCATAAGCACACCCTAATTTATCAGTAGTCATAGGTGCCCTATAAGCTAATCACATGAGTGATGACATATATGACATGATATACACTTTTTTGTTTATTATATATTTGATATTTTTTGGTTGAATCTCGTATTTTGATGATGAAACAAATTGATAGAGTTTATGATCTAATCTGTAATTTGAGTGACGCAGAACTAGCTTCGATCATGAAGAGACAATTAAAAATGGAAGAATCAATGTTGAGTTGGAGTGGAATAGACCAAAAGATTGGACGTCGAGCTAGAAGATTGGTCGATGTTGTTGAATCTCATATTTTGATGATGAAACCAACTAATAAGTGTTTATGATTTAATCTACGTTTTGAATGATGCAGGATGCTTCGATCAGGATGAGACAATTAAAGCAGGAAGAATCATATTGTGCCAGGGGAAAACATGTTAGAAGATTGGACGTCGAGCCGGTGGATCAATCGATGTATCAACAAAAGGCTTCGGGCCATGGATTCGGGCATCGGACCAATAAGAGCGGATATTGCACTAAGGATATCGGAGTTGCGAAGTCAACTGGCCAATCGGGCAATAGGCCATAAGAGAGGACGATATGCAGAAGAATAGGACAAAGCGTCAAGGGACCAATGACATGCTAAACAACATGATTCAATGCTTAGTATTAATTGTCTAGATCGAAGTATGTTTTACATATGTAGGATTAACTATGATAGCAAGGCATAAAGCAAAATGAAGTCCCGGAGTCAAGGACACGATTTCGTTGGGAGTTCGAGAGTTCGTCAGAAGTTTTGTCAGAACAAGCCGAGAAGTCTCGGAGCTTGCCAGAGAAGCTCATCGGAACTCACCAAGAAGATCGTCGTGAAGTTCAGGAGCTTGCCGGGAGTCTGCCGGAACATTACCGAGAGATCATCGGAAGTTCGTTAGAAGATCGCCGGAAGAAACCAAGACATAGAGACTTGCTTAACTTAGCAAATGTCTTAGATTTCATAGTTAGTATGCAATTGGGTTTGGATTTGGGCCAACCCAATTAAGGGCCAATTGGGCCCATGTAAAAACTGTGTTGGGTCCAATGAAAAGGCTCAAACAGTGCCCCAAGAGGTGATATCGTTGTGGCATAGTCTCCGAGACTGTGTCAAGCAGTGGTACCATTAGATTGGGCGGTGAAACTGCCCAGTGTCAGACTGACACTAGCAATGGTACTGCCCAACGTAGGCGGTGGTACCGCCCGTGCTTGGGAAACCCGGGATGAGATGTTTTTAGGCTCCAAGTTTAAATCAACTTGAAGCCTATAAATACCTCTCTCATCCCTGGTTAATATACACAAGCACAAAGAGTTTAAAAGTGAAGAAACACTATTATAATCACTTGAGAAATCCCTCCTCTAGATCTAACCTTAGAATTATATTTAAGAGGAGTGTGAGTGCTTATAAGGGTTGTCTCCTAAACCCGATAAAAGGAGAAGAGGGGTGTAAAAAGGAGGTTGATCTTCGCCTATTAAAGGAAGATCGATAGTGGATACTGGTGGCCTCGACGGAAGAGGAATCAGCGAAGTGGATATAGGTCACGACGACCGAACCACTCTAAAATCTGGTTTGCATTTTACTTTGAGCAATTTATCTTTACTGCAAACCTCTTTAATAGCTTACTGCTTTCAATACATTTACGAACGTGCTACAAGTTAAGATATTTACAAAACGATTTTTGTCGGAAATAGATTTAATCAAAACGAAAAGCTTTGAAGACGTGATTTTAGCGCTGCACTAATTTACCCCCCCCCCCCACCCCCCCCCTCCCCCCTCTCTTAGTGCCGACCTCGTTCCTAACAGATGTGTCGGTAAAATGCTTCATGCCATGAGTTTGGGAATCGTGCCAAAAAGATCGGACATTGCGCCAAGGAGATTGGATGTTACAAGAAGGCAACATGCCGATTGAGCAAGACACCGAAGGAGAGGACGATGCGTCGAAGGGTCAGACGAAGCGCTGAATGAACCAATGACATGTCGGATAACATGTGATTAATGCTTTATAATAATTGTTTAGATCAAAATAGTTTTAGTTCTAATTAGGTTGGTTTAGAATATAATTAGGTCAACTCAATTAGGGGCCAATTGTGCCTATATTGGGGTTGTTTTGGGTCACGAGAAAGGCCCATTCAGTGACCCAAAAGTTGGGTCAGGCAATGGCACCGTCGGTCCAAGCAGTGGCACCGCTAGAGGCTTAGTCTCCAAGACAGTCTCTGAGACTGTGTTAGGAGGTAGTACCACTAGATTAGGCGGTGGTATCTCCCAGTGTTAGCGGTGATACCATCCACTAGCAGTGCTGCAAGCGATAGTACCGCCCAACATAGGCGGTGGTATTGCTAAGACTCGGGAAACCTGAGATGAGATCTTTCTTTGCTCTATTTTTAAGCCATTTAAGGTTTATAAATACCCTAATTATTCCTACATGGACATGCAAGAATTAAACAAAAAGGGAAAATAATTCTAAGTTATAAAAGTGTTGAAAAGATTGAGTTCCCTCCTTGAGCTTAGAGGTTATTCTAAGGGAGGTGTGTGAGGGTTACCTTGAGGGGTGTAAAGGTTATCTCCTAAACTTGTGAAAAGGAGAAAGAGTTGTAAGGGTAGTTGATCTTCACCCATTGAAAGAAGATCGGTAGTAGAAGCTGATGACCTCGAGTAAAGAGGAATCGAGAGTGGATGTAGATCACGATGATCGAACCACTATAAAACTAGGTTTGCATTTCTTTTATATTTTTCATTTATATTACAAACTGATTTACTTGCTTATTACTTTCACTATGCTTACGAACACACTTTCAAGTCAAGCACATTTCCTATACGAGCTTTTATTGAACGAGAATTTTCAAACTCGATGTTTTTATCAAAAGCACTAATTCACCCCCCTCTCAGTGTTGACTTGGTCTTAACATTTTTCTCACTTTATATTTCCTATTACATATATTGTGATGTCCTTGGATCTATGCAATGAGAATCAAATCATGATGAGTTCACGATAATGAGACTAATTCACCTTTAAACATAGACCATAAATAATCCCAATCATATATTACTTGAGAGGGACATCGAGATAACCAAATAAACTGGTGTGTTGTATACCCATCCATATGATAGAGGTAACTAGTCTCATAGTTGCTCATATAGGGATACTAGGGATACAATGCAAGTGCTCATTGGAGAATGAGGTCACTAATCGATCCGCTCATGAAATATTGAATGATTGATAATACCTCATTGTCAAACAATGATTCTATTATTCTAGTGGTGTATTTGATCCTTAGACTTGAGACACTAAGGATGTTTTGTATGAATACTCCACTCTTTGATACTGGATTATAGTATGGAAGTTCCAAATGCTAGTCATAGGTGCCCTGCAAGCTAATCACATGAGGTGATGGCATGTGTAACTTGTCACACAATCTTTTTGCTTATTATTATTATCACTTTATATTGCCTATTGCATATTTTGATGTCCATGGATCTATACAATGGGAAATGGATCGTGATGAGATCACGATAATGAGACCGATTTGCCTTTAAACATAGATCCTAAATAATCTCGGTCATAGGTTACTTAAGAGGGATATCAAGATAACCGAATAGATTGGTATATTATATACCCATATATATGATGGAGGCAGCTGGTCTCATAGCTGCTCATGTGAGGACATTAGGGATATAGTGTATGTGCTCATTAGAGAATGAGTTTATTGATTGATCCGCTCACGAAATACTAGATGGTTAATGATACCTGATTGTTAGACAG